GTCAGGATGCTATTAGTCGATTTCAGCTCCGCTTTTAATACAATAATCCCCCACAAACTGGTACAGAAACTCTACAATTTGGGCCTGTCCACCTCATTGTGCTTATGGATCAGAGACTTTCTAACCAACAGGCCACAAGTAGTAAGAATAGGGGACAACACATCGTCTTAAAAACACGAAAACACCTTTCTGTCGGGAGAGAGAGAAGCCGCAGCGTGTGAACGCGCCGCCATCTTGAGTACACAAAAGTACAAACAATAAGACCAAAGAGGTTATTGTGGACTTCAGAAGGTCCAGAAGGACAGCACATGCACCACTGCTCATACAGAGGGTAGAAGCATAAAGTTGAAAACATAAAGTTCCTGGGTATCCACATTTCAGCTGACCTCACTTGGGCCCTGAACACCTCCCACCTGGTTAGGTTTTGAACACCAATAAGACCAAAGAGGTTATTGTGGACTTCAGAAGGTTCGGAAGGACAAGCACATCCACCACTGCTCATACAGGGAATAGAAGTGGAGCGTGTGGAAAACATCAAGTTCCTGGGTATCCACATTTCAGCGGACCTCACTTGGGCCCTGAACACCTCCTACCTGGTTAGGAAAGCTCAACAAAGACTTTTCTTCCTCAGGAAGTTGAAGCAGGCTGGACTCTCCTCTCGGCTACTGATAAATTTCTATAGGAGTGCCATAGAAAGCATCCTATGCTATTGTGTAACTGTGTGGTATGCCAGCTGCACGGCACAGGACAGGAAGGACTTGGCCCGGGTGGTTAAGACTGCACAGGATTGTTGGGGATCCACTTCCAGATCTGGACTTGGTCTATGCAGAACGCCTCCAGAAGAAGGCCAGGAACATTGCTGCAGATCCCACCCACCCGGGTCATGGACTGTTTGACCCCCTGCCCTCAGGGCGGAGGTACAGGACCATAAAAACACACACAAACAGACTGAGAAACAGCTTCTTTCCAAGAGCTGTGACCTCTATTACACCCCTTACACTCACACCCTCAAGTTAATGACATAATTTGCACTTTATTTTGTGGCAACTGTTGCCTGTTATTTATTGTTGGTTGATTTAAGTTGTTGTTCTTCCTTTGTTTAGTTTGTAACTGAGACTCACCAGACAGAATTTCGTTGTACCTATGTACAATGACAATAAAGAAAATTGAATTGAATTAATGGCTATAATTCAGGGAAAATGCATTTAATAGAGACATCAGTAACATTAAATGATACTAGTCTTCACTTATAGGCTACTTAGTAAAAAGATGCCATTAAACGTTTAAAATATGCCATCTTTGTTATTTCTGCATTAATTTGGAGGTTCAATGTGAAATAATGGCAATATAAATATATTAATATGCAATTAATCATGATAAATTACAGAAAGTGTGCGATTACTTTCATTTTTTTGTTAATTTTTATTAGTTTATTTTGCTGCTGAATATGCATTTCAGTTTTATTTCTAATTTTAATGGGCCCCTGAAAGAGATTGTGATGCGCCCCACCCCCTTGGTCCTAAATTCGATAATCAGGCCCTCAAATGAAGCTAATTGAATAGCCCTGATGTAGAAGCAGGATTAGAGTCAGAAATGAACAGAAAAGAGGGGGAAATGGATTTAAAATAAATAAAAATGTCTCAAAATGTAACATATGATTAGCATAGCAGTACATGTAATACTGTTATACAACAGTTCAATAAACAAGAAATTAATAGTAATTAACTTACATTTTAGACACAGTATTGATATATGCCAATGAAAATAGTTCCATCCATTGCATCTCCAAGCAACACACAGCTGTGTTTTGTTACTGAATAATACAGCATTTTCAATGAATCACTGATTGAATCAATAAATCAGTGATCAATAAAAAAAATTTAAAGAGAGTGGCTGCATCCAAAATCACACCTCTACTCTGTAGTATGCGATTTTCTGGTTAAAACTGCATTTTAAAATGCGATTTTTAAAACAAATTAACAAATAAATAATATAATAATTAGTTAAAAATTAACGATAACATAATAACAATGCTCATTTTATTTTACAGAAAACTATTGTTTAATAAAAAAACTGCAGGGTTACTTGTTAACATGCAGGCTGTACATTATATGATACAGTTATGATATGGTGCAACTCCTGTACACTTCTATACACTAGAGAAAAATATGGATTATCATATTTTTACTTATAATTTATTTAGAGAGAAGTATTATTTTTCCTGTTTATGCCCAAAATAGGACTGAGTGTGCATTTTCATTCATACTGTAAGCCAGAGGGCGCCCTCGTGCAGAAACTCCACATATGCATCATAGAAGTAATAGAACTCATGACACTCCAGGAAATCCCTAATATGAAAAAAGGTATCTAGCTATTAGGCCCTGTGTCCACCAAAGCGTTTTTCCCCGCGGCTAGCGTGTTTTTTCAGTTGTTCTCAATTGGAGCGCCGCGTTTTTTAAAACGCCAGGAGCGTGCCGAGCGCTGAGCGTCTTTTTCGCGCTGAGCGTTCGGGCGTTTTTTTCTCGCGCCGAGAGTTGAAGAATGTTCAACTTTGGATAAAACGCTGCGCTCATCACTGTCACTTTCTAGTCAGCTAACCAATCAGAGTGCAGGAGGGGCGGGGCAAATTCCACACCGATCAACTGTCACAACAGTCATTTTGTTACAACGACGTATCAACAAGCACAACAACGGGAAATATGGAGGAGAAATTAATATTGCTGGTTTCTGAGCATCCATGTCAGTTTAGCGGATATTCCGTATCATAGCAACCAAAGCGTCTCAACTGAAAAAACGCTGCGCCACAAAAAGCGCTCTCAAGCGCTCGCAGCTGGGCGTTTTCAGCAGAGCGCCTGGCATTTTCAGCTGGCTAAAAACGCTTTGGTGGACACAGGGCCTTAGGGTTGTGACGGTGAGGAAAAGTTTAAACTGGTTAATCGACATGTGATAACACCGGTAATACCGGTATCACCGTGGGGTGGGGGGCAGGGGATTTAGTTAATTTGAGTTTTCCCTCTTTTTCTCGCTTTCCTTTGCATTTAAATAGTTTGTAAATGTGCCGTGCGCATTTTACTTTCACTTTCAAATTAGTGGCAATTCGGTGTCGATTATAAAATACAATGTCAAACTCACTTAGCCAATATATAGGCTATATCATAGAACTTTTATTAACGAAAGGAATAAAAATACACCAAGCTACAGTATATGCCTAATATAAAATAATTAACTTACACTAAGTTTAAATAGGTATAGGCAGGGCTACAAAGCTGAAAATCAGAAAACACTGTGGAACAAAATAAATAGGAAATGAATAAGAAATGCAAAACAAATAAGAAAGCTTGGAGGCACGGCATAAACCTTGATGTAAAATAAAATAAATAAATTACACAAAGTTTAAATAAAGTAAAAATCAGCAAACACTGTGGAACCAAATAAATGAGAAACGAATGCTTAAAAAAAACTTCCAAAATCAACTTTGATAAACAGCAAACGTCAACAAGCTTTTCAAAATCCGAAATATTGCCAAACAGGTGCTTTTGCATTTCGTTTTGAAACTAAATATTCCGCCAATGTAGAATTAGGTGTTGGGATTAATGTTACACAAAATAATTGCTTGGTTTAGGCTACTTAAGTATATTTTTTCTTAATTTAATGCATGAAATGTCGTAATAATGAATACCCAACTTGGAAGCAGGATCTTCTCAGGTGCACTTGAATACAGCATGAGCAGGTGTTAACACAATGTTAACACAACCAGAGATGGTACACACTAAAGACAGATGGGGTGAAGAGTACAGACACACCAGCAGAGAAAATACTGTACAGGCATAGCAATCTTACTGTTCGCGATGCTTGAAA